AATAGGCTCTCTGCGAGAAGTGGGGCGCGCCCGGTGACTCGAGGTCCCCCCCCTCCGCCCCAGCCGCTCGGAAGCCGCGCCCCCCGCGGCAGCGCCAAAAAGTTGAGGGGAACGCTGCCGGGCGCCCGCGCGCTCGCGGGGCGCCACCGCCGAGAGGGGGCGCCCTTGGGGGGGGCGACCCTCGCGCCCGCCGGCGGGGGGGCACAGGTCGCCGTCCTCGCCGTCGCTGCCCCCGTGGTGGTCGTCGCCGTCGTCGGTGCCGTCGTGGTCATCGGCGTTGCCGCCGTCGCCGTCGACGTCGTCGGCGCCGCCGCCGCAGCCCCCGTCTTCATCGTCGTCGTCGTCGTCGTCGTCATCTTTGCCGCCTCTCTCTTTACGCGAGAGGAAGGAGGAGGACGAGGAGGGAGGAGGGAGGAGGGAAGACAAGGAGGACAGGGCTGAGGACGACGGCGGCGACGAGGAAACGAGGAGAGTGAGGAGGCTCATGAGGGGGACTCATCAAAGAACAACTGGACAAGCGAAGTACGTTCGGGCACGATGAGCCAGAAATGATTGCTCGGACACGAGGGGAATAGTACGTGTACAAGTATGTAAAATACGGTGGAATGACGGGCATGATCGCGCACCGCCTTCAAATAATCACCGTACCCTGCGAGCCGGACCTAGACGGATCCGACTTGGCCATTTCCCCATGTCATGTTATGTTTAAGGGCACCATGCCAGTTCTACTTGCAAAATCCAACACCATGCCGTGAGGCACGAATTGGAATGTCCTCACGTGGTGGGAGCTCTGTCCTGGATGTATTAAAATACGCAGACCACTAAGTGCCGGACTTCCTAGGGGGTCGCATGATGATACGTTTTTCTTGGGGCTTCTCGCACGACTTTTCCTCAGGAGGCGAGGGGGCTTCAAGACGGGCCAAGAGGGCCCCACGAAGCCACCACATCTATCAAAGAAGGCTCTGGAACGGCCCAGAAGCTCTACAGGACGGCCCAAGACTCCATCAAAACGCTCAAACTCACCTAAGCGAGCGCCAATTGAATCCCAAGAGCTAAACAAGTCGATCCCCCCTAGACGTTTGATCGGATTGTCGTGTCTTCGCCGTATCAGCTTCCCTGCGCTCCACGACTGCCAAAGAGAACTCGAATATCGGCCCGAGATGGCCTCAGAGGCTCCCGCCAGGCTTCCCAGAGGGCCCAAGAGGGTGGTAAGGCGACCCAAGAGGTCATCATGCAAGAGAGCCCCAAGAGGGGCCTGAGAGGTGACATCCGAACAAACATCTCAAGCCCTTCGCCCCTCTCGAGGACCCCCGAGACCGCGAGCCTACCCAAAGAGACCCCCGAGCAGAACCCAGGGCGCACGAAAGAGGCCGCAAGAGTTTTGTGGCAACTCACGGGAGCCTCCAACGCCATCTTGCTGGCTTCGCGAATCGATGCTGGCCGACGCTAAATCGGCGCATTCCCATCGACTACCAGACGCTACCGCACGCTAGTGCCCTCCAGAAACTGACAGGAAGGCCCCAGGATGTTCCCAAGAGGCCCTCAGTAGCCCTCCAGGAGGCCGCCGAACGCAAGAGACCCTTATAGGCATCTAAGAGGCCCCGTAGCCACAACCCTAGCACGGTGGCGGGATGGGCCCAATGTGACTGGATATGTATACAATCCGGTGATGCGCCAAGTCCGCCCCCAGCACGATCCATGATTCAAACAGCACTACGCCGTGGCGAACATGTTATGATCTATGGTGCGAGAATTTGAGCAATCATTTAATGTAGGCCTCATGCGCGCTTGCATATGCGCAAAACAATGACAGCCATCGTGCCCACACGGAGTGGACGTGTTAGAATACTCGGCTTATGACTGGAAAGTTCGTGTGCCTTCTAAGACCGCCCCCCTAGCCGCACGCATGCCTAGAACATCGCCCCCTGAGTTTGCTCTCCGACACTCTTTACGGCTTAAAGACAACCCAAGAGGCTCTTAAAGACGGCCTCCGAGACAGCCAAGATGGCACCAGGAAGGCCCAAGACAGCACACGAGACTCCCTAATGGCCTCAAAACGGCTCGAGATGCTGTCAACACGTTCCAGGATGACTCCAAGAGGCCCTCCAGGCGAGACCGAGAATGTGAAAAACAGTGATGCGCCTGAAGTGTTTGAAAATGTTTAGGTTCTCACCTGTTTGGGTTTTTCGACCGCCTCAGACGGCCCTAGATAGAGTCCTCTAAGATTGATGCGGTACAGCCCATGAGGCCTCCAAAGAGGGCCCTAGGTCGGCCAAAGAGGACCCCAAGGTCGCCTAAGAGCCTCCCAAGTATGCACCGATACGACCCCAAAACGCTCCAAGAGGGCACTAAGACAGCATCCGAAGGTATCAGACGGACCAAAAGATCACATAAGACCGCCCAAGAGGCCCAAAGTGGCGCCAAAGATGCACTGAGGAGGCTCCCGGGAAACCCAAAGAGAGCTCCCGTTAGGCCGCCTCCTCCCTGTCTTCATATTATCCCTCCTCTCCTTTCCTCCCCCTCCTCCTCCCCCTCCTCCTCCCCCTCCTCCTCCTCCTCCTTCTCCTCCTCCTCCTCCTCCTCCTCCTCCTCCTCCTCCTCCTCCTCCTCCTCCTCTCTCCTCCCCCCGCCTCCTCCTCCTCTCCTCCTCCTCCTCCTCCTCTCCTCCTCCTCCTCCTCCTCCTCCTCCTCCTCCTCCTCCTCCTTCTCTTTCTCCGTCTCCTCCTCCTCCTCCTCCTCCTCCTCTTCCTCTTCCTGCTCCTCCTCCCTACCGCGCTGCTGGACAGGCACTGTGGCGGGGCCTGCCGCAGGCAGCGTGATGTATCAAACAAGTTGCTTGAGCAACGTGTCAAAATCGATCATTTCGGAAGAACAGTGTAAACCATACTTCAAGCTGCCATAGACAAATCATTGTCAGGTACTACGCGCGCGCCCCACATGCTCATCAGCACCATTATCACGATGACCGCATGATTTCATTAACTGCCATATGTATAAGTGGTGTCGGATACTAAGCGCGCGCCCCAATTGCTCATCAGCGTCACTCACGATATGATCGCATCCGTTCATTAACTTGCGCAGACTTACGAGGATATCGAGCGAACAAGTGGATGATATCTTCAGCCATCTGATCGGGGAAGAGGTGCATCTTGCGGATTTCCAGGACAAGATGGGAATGCTCAGACGCGATGAGACGTAACCAATAACAGGGTGGGCAGGTGGATGGGATGAGCACGTTCCGACGCAAGCCAGACCTTACTGTACTGTACTTCACTATGGTCCACCACCGTGCCCCACGAGTTGGAGTGCCCTCGAGTCCCTTGGAGTTCTCTGCATGAGAAACTTCTGAAGAACTGCACGTATTCCTTCAGGGGCCCACGGCCCAGAGTTCCGGGGCGCTCTTGGGCGCTCCCCGGCTTGCTCGGGCGACTTCTCGAGAGGCCACGAGCGCGTTGTTCGGGACATGCATGTCCAACATGGCCAAATATGGCCCTCCTGGGGCCCTCCTGGAGGACCTGTCGGATGCCGGACCGTCCTGGAGCCCTCTCGGGCGCCTCCTGGGCCGTCTGGAAGGCCCTGGAAGGCGGCCCCAGAAGCCAAACTCGTCAAAAACAATTGTGTCGAATGGTCTCAGCATCACCGCCTTTTTGGTCGTCAGAGCGTCCAAGACGGCCCAAGAGGCGCCCAAGATCGCCCAAAAACTGCCCTAGAGCCCGCACGAGGGGCCAAGATGCCCCCAAGACAGCCCAAAGACGGCCCCAAAAGGGACACGGACTAACATTCTGAGCCCCCCGCCACAAGATGGCCCCAGAGGACCCCGTGCCCCCCAAAGGCCCCGAGGGATGCAAATCGGGCTCCAAGAGGCCTCCAAGAGGCCCCCTAGACAACCCCAAACACCACCGAACTCGTCTCCAAGAGGCTTCTGAGAGGTCTCCCAATCGGTCCTCCGCCGCCCCCTGTCGATTCATCGCAGGGGTGCCTGGCGTGCTGGATCCTCTCGGTTTTTGTTTGGTTCTTCTTCAAAAAAAACTCTCCCGGGGCCTTCGGCCCGTCCCGCCAGCCACCCGGAAAGATTGCCCCGGATCTCAATTCTCAAATTTTTCGCTCAAGATGGCCCACGATGGCCTCCAAGATGCCTCCAAGACGGCCAAGATGGCCTCCAAGACGGCTAAGATGGCCCCCAAGATGACTCCAAGACGGCCCAAGATGCACCCAAGAAGGCCTAAGATGGCCTCAAGATGGCGCAAGACGGCCCAAGAACCCCCGAAGAGGTCTCCAAGACAGCCCAAGAGGCCTCCAAGAGGTTCTCCAGGAAGGCCCGAAGAGGCCAATCTCATTGATTTCCCTTAGGTATTCAAAGGATTTTGGCATTGTTGTCTTTTCGGCCTTCCGACGGCCCAAGAGGACCCCAAGATCGCCCCAAGATCGCCTCAGAGGTCTCCAAGATGGCCCCATGACGGCCCAAGATGCCCCCAAGATGCCTCCAAGAGGGCCTTCCGACGGCTCAAGACGGCCCCAAAGGCCCCCAAGATCGCCCACGAGGCCTCCAAGACGGCCTCATGACGGCCCAAGAGGCCCCCAACACAGCCCCAAGAGGGCCCAAGAGGGCCCAAGACGGCCAAAATGGCCTCCAAGACGGCTAAGATGGCCCCAAGATGCCTCCAAAGCGGCGCAAGATGCCCTCAAGACGGCCTAAGATGGCCTCAAGATGGCCTCAAGATGGCCCAAGAGACCTTCAGGAGGCCCCGAAACAGAGGCCCCCAAGAAGCCCCCAAAGACCCCCAAAAACCCTCCAAGAGGCCCCCAGGAAGCCCCCAGGAGGTCCCAAGAGTGCCTCAAGAGGCGCTCAAGAGGCCTCCTCCTCCTCCTCCTCCTCCTCCTCCTCCTCCTCCTCCTCCTCCTCCTCCTCCTCCTCCTCCTCCTCCTATGTTTTTTCCTCATCCTCACCCTCCTCCTCTTCTTGCTACCCCACGCGTTCCCCGAAGTCTTTCCAAACCGACTCGGGGAACAACTGGCCCGATAGCTTGGTCAGGCCAAGCTCTAACAGGCGCTTCCAAAGGGGCAGGGGGCTGCGGTGATTCGCTGCAGGCGCCTTTGATCCGCCGCCCCCTGTGCTTGTCACAAGGGTGCCCGGCGTGCCAGACCCTACCGGTTCTGGTTTTGGTTTCCAGAAGAACTCCCCCCTGGGGCTTCGGCCCGTGCCGCCTGCCACCTGAAGGACCCGGAAGGGTGCTCACAAAATGCCTGGGTGGTTGCCCCAGTCGCCATCAAGATGGCCCAGATGGCCCAAGATGGCCACCAAGATGCCTCCAAGATGACCAAGATGGCCTCCAGGACACCCCGAGAGGGGCCAGGCTACTTCCAAGTCCGCCCAAGAAGCCGCCAAGACGACCCAAGAGGTGCCCAAGAGGCCTCCAAGACGGCCCAAGAGACATCCGAGAGGTCCTCCAGAGGCAAAAATCATGTATTTTCCTGCGGTGTTTGAAGAATCCGCCTGCCCCCTTGTGGGGCCACCAGGCTGCGAGGCGCTGGATCGCAGTTTCCAGTACCAGTTGTAGCTTGTAGTTTCCAGTGTTACAGTTCTGCTTCTTGCTGGTTACTGTAACTAGTTGATTGACCGCGCGAGGGAGGGGGAGGCCCAAACAGGATTTTTAGCATCCCCTGGGCGCGTTGTCTGAATTGCTGGGGGAGCTCGAAATCGACACCCCTCACGCAGATCCGCGGGGTCAGGGTCCAAAAACACATGGGATTTGCCACATTTCTGAAATTCGGTGCCACCCCTCACGCAGATCCGCGGGGTCAGGGTCCAAAAACACATGGGATTTGCCACATTTCTGAAATTCGGTGCCACCCCTCACGCAGATCCGCGGGGTCAGGGTCCAAAAACATGGGATTTGCCACATTTCTGACATTCGGTGCCACCCCTCACGCAGATCCGCGGGGTCAGGGTCCAAAAACACAATGGGATTTGCCACATTTCTGGAATTCGGTGCCAAGATCCGCGGGGTCAGGGTCCACACCCACTTTCTGAAATTCGGTGCCAGATCCGCGGGGTCAGGGTCCAAAAACACATGGGATTTGCCACATTTCTGAAATTCGGTGCCACCCCTCACGCAGATCCGCGGGGTCAGGGTCCAAAAACACATGGGATTTGCCACATTTCTGAAATTCGGTGCCACCCCTCACGCAGATCCGCGGGGTCAGGGTCCAAAAACACATGGGATTTGCCACATTTCTGAAATTCGGTGCCACCCCTCACGCAGATCCGCGGGGTCAGGGTCCAAAAACACATGGGATTTGCCACATTTCTGAAATTCGGTGCCACCCCTCACGCAGATCCGCGGGGTCAGGGTCCAAAAACACATGGGATTTGCCACATTTCTGAAATTCGGTGCCACCCCTCACGCAGATCCGCGGGGTCAGGGTCCAAAAACACATGGGATTTGCCACATTTCTGAAATTCGGTGCCACCCCTCACGCAGATCCGCGGGGTCAGGGTCCAAAAACACATGGGATTTGCCACATTTCTGAAATTCGGTGCCACCCCTCACGCAGATCCGCGGGGTCAGGGTCCAAAAACACAAGGGATTTGCAACATTTCTGAAATTCGGTGCCACCCCTCACGCACATCCATCGCAAGGCGTGGTAACCCAAACTGCGAGCACTCCCTCGGCCCTTTAATCGCAAGGTGTGGTAACCAAGCCCGTAAACCATACACGTCTTACCAATCGCCAGGTGTGGTAACCCCTCTTGTGATCAGTTGGTTTTGCTGATTGCGAATCGGCTTCGCATGAAGTTTCGATACTGCTTCACGACAGCGCCAAGGCCTCATGACTTAGCTCTTCCATGGCCCATTCTCCGAGAGAGGGGGCCGGCGGCAGGGGGCGAAGCCCTTACGGATTGTCGTATTTGCTCCTTTTCGGCCTTCCGACGGCCCGAGACGGCCCAAGAGGCCCCCAACGATCGCCCCCAAGCGCCCAAGAGGCCTCCAGTATGGCCCCAGAACGGCCCATGAGGACCCCAAGACGGCCCCAAGAGGCCCCCAAGACGGCCCCGAAGGCCTCTAAGACGCCCAAGAAAGTCTCCAAGACGGCTCTGGAGCATTCCAAGGGGGCCCCAAATCGGCCCAGAGAGGCACCCAAGACGGCTTCCCACGGCGTCAGACGGGCCAGGAGCCCACCAAGACGGCCGAAGATGGCCCTAAGATGGCCCAAGATGGCCCAAGAGGCCTCCAAGAGGGCCTCCAGGAAGACCCGAAGAGGCCACAATCATTGAATTTCCTCAGGTTGTTTAAAGGATGTTGGCATGTGCTTCTTTTCGGCCTTCCGACGGCCCGAGACGGCCCAAGAGTCCCCAAAGATTGTCCCAAGATCGCCCCAGAGGCCTCCAGTCCGACACCAGAACGGCCCATGAGGCCCCCAAGACGGCCCCACCAGGACGGCACAAGAAACCTCTCAGACGACCAAGAAAGCCTCCAAGATGGCCCTGCAGCATTCTCAGAGGGCCCCAAGTCGGCCCAGAGAGGCCCTCAAAACGGCTTCCGACGGCGTCGGGCCAGAAACGCAGTAAGACGGCCAACGAAGCCCCCAATAAGACCCAAACGGCCGCCAGGAGGCCCAAGAAGGCCCCCTAGAGGCCTCCAAGAGGCTCCCAGAAAGCTACCAAGAGGCCCCAAGAATAACCAAAGAAGCTCCCAAGAGATCTCCTCATCCTTCTCCTCATCCTCCATTGTCCTTCCTATCCCCATCATGCTCGTTCTCCCCCACGTGTTCCCCGAAAGGTTTCCACAACGTCTAGGGGAACACGTGGTCCAATTGCGTGGCCAAACTTTGCGCACACGTTTGGTCACATAGACGTATCCTGAAAGGCAGGGGGGAGGCGGTGGTTCGAAGAAGTCGTCTTCGATACACTGTACTGAGTCATGCATATATAGCTGTAACCTCTGACTGGACACCACGAGCCATGACCATAGACCACGAGCCACGCCCAAGCAGCGCGAATCACGGCCAAAGGCCACGACCCACAATCAAACACATCGACCAAAGACCACGAGACACCGTGTCTGGATGATGCAGGACGCCCATCGGTCTTTGAAGCCTTGCCTCGGGCCCCTGCAGACAAGCCGACAATAACAAAACACATGTGATGCTGGGCTGCAAACCGTGCGGTGACCTCGACATCCGCTACAAGATCGCATCGCGCTGTCCGTCGCCGCGCGACCCTGGGACCTTGGAGGCTCTGGTCGCCCGAAGCATGCTCGGAGAACGGCTCAAGCCCCCAGACCGCGCGACCGCTATAACACCAAAACAAATCCGCACTTACTCATCGCGACGACGAGGTCACCTTACCGTCGCGGGACGTGCGGCGCCAGCGCGAAGCGAACCACCTGGGCCCTCCGTGTCGCCCGGGGAGAGCGGCCAGGGGGGACCGGCTCGCGGGGGTTGGTTGACCCGAAAGGGGGTCCAGCTGAAAGGGGGCGGTGCAACAGATTTGGGGCAAGCGTACTGCAAATGGCTTGCGCCAGAGAGTTGCATGGCTTTGTCCTGCAAGTAATGCACTGCGCGCGCAAAGCCAGCAATACACTTGCGCCCCGGAACGTAGTGCACGCCCCAAATCTACATCTATTGCACCAAATCTACTGCACCACCCTCTTTTCGCTGGACCCCCCTTTGGGTCAACCAGAGTGGGGGAACCTCGACCTGGAATCGGTGATACAGTGCCGATACTTCGGCGACGCGCTCCTGGTAGCTAGTCCGCACGTTCCTAGGCGGGATGGACTGTCAGGCCCCATCGCCGATCAGTGGGCGATTGGAGGTCGATGCGTCCCCCTGAGCCCATCCCCCCTATCGTTGCCCTGTCCTTCGGGTCATATCGGGTGTGGCCAGAAGTACCCCCAGCCCAGGTTACACCCAGGATTCCCGGGGTGGCCCAGACTGCAGGGCACCCGTGTGCACCCGTCACGAGGCCCAGAGTGACCCAGGGGCTCCAAATTGAGGGAAACGCTGGGGGCACCTTGGGCAGGGGACACTACTAGCAACACCCGATCATAACTCAGCTCTCCTGGTGGCCGTCCAGGACGATCTGGGCACTCCAGGACGATCTGGGCACTCCCAGAAAGCCCAGGGCGAGCCTGAAGACAGGCACCATGGGGCTGGAACAAACAGGCCGAGGCCCCACGACGACGGTCGAAAACCTAAAGCCGCAAACCTTCTCGTCCCCCCCCTAGGAGAAGAAAACGGGCCCGAGTCCGCGCTTCCCCGGACCTCTCCTGGAGTGCGTTCTGACCAGGATTTCGAAGCGAATCCAGCCGCGCGAAAACAATGGAAAGGTTGCGGTATCGGTGGCTCCTCCTCCTCTGAAGAACGATGCTCAGGGCCTGAGCCTGAGCCCGAGTGAGTCTGACCGCGATCCATGGATCGCGGGAGGTGCCCTCCCCAAAATGCGGCCGGTGCCGCCCCTTCCGGCGGCGGAAATCCGCGATTTCCCATGGAAACGGGACCCGTCACTAATCCACGCCCCCCTGATCCATGTTCACGATCGCCTGACATGAGCAAGTCTGGGTATCAGTGGGTCTGGGTGTGAGTGGGTCGCCTCGTCCTGCCCTGCTTCTCGCCTCCCCCGCGGCTCGCCGCCGCCGCCGCCGCTGCGTCCCGCCTTGCCCCGCGCGCTGAGGGTACTGGCCTTCGTCTCCTCGTCGCCTTCGCCCCGCCCTCGCACCCCTCCCCCGGGCTTGCGCACGGCACGGTCGATCCCCTGGGGGTCGATCCCTGCCCCAAGCTCTGCTGACAAGGCCGGCCGCGCGCGCCTCTCGCTTTTGTCCGCTACCTGCCACGCCACGCCTCGACGCTGCGCGCGAGTCCGCGACGCCAAGAAGTGGGTGGGCCTGGGGGGGAGCGAACGACATAAACATCACAACTCTGAGGTCCGCGCGGACCCTCCCTGGCGCGCCTCAAGCGCCAGGGGCCGCGCCGGAGGCGCCGCCAGGGGGCCCCAGCGCCGATCCGAGGAACTCGCGCGGCCCTCCGAGTTTTTATTCGGCGGCGAGCCCGGGGGGGAAGTGAGAAGGGGCGGACCATCTTCACGACGCGATCATGTCTGGGCTTCCTCCTCCTTTAATGTTCCTCCTCATTGCCCCTCGCGCGCCGCCGACTGGGGCCTCCCACAGGCGTCGCCCCCGAGCCTCCCCAACCGAGCGGCTAGGCGTGGGGGGCGCGCGGCGGGGAGGCGGCCCGCCGCCCGGAGGTCGCGCGCGAGCCGCGCGGAGTCGGCGAGAGGTCGGCCCTCAGGCGGGGTCGTCGTCGATCTCCAGGTCCTGACGGGGCAGGGCCGCGGCTCTGCTTCGCCGAGGAGGTGGGCATGCCAGATCTGGCGGCGAGGGCCTCAGGAAGGAGGAGGAGCTCCTCCTCCTCCAACCTCCTCCTCCTCTTCCTCCTCCTCCTCCTCCTGATCATCATCATCCCTCCTCCTCCTCCTCCTCCTCCTCCTTCTCCTCCTCCTCCTCCTACTCCCTCCTCCTCCTCCTCCTCCTCTCCTCCTCCTCCTCCTCCTCCTCCTCCTCCTCCTACTCCTACTCTTCCTTAAACCTCCTCCTCTAACCTCCTCCTCCTTCTCCTCCACCTCCTCCTCCTCCTCCTACTCCTCCTCCTCCTCCTCCTCCTCAATCATCCTCCTCCTCGTCCTCTCCCTCTTCTTCTTCCTCTTCCTCTCTCCTCCTCCTCCTCCTCCTCCTCCTCCTCCTCCTCCTCCTCCTCCTCCTCCTCCTCCTCCTCCTCCTCCTCCTCCTCCTCCTCCTCCTCCTCCTCCTCCTCCTCCTCCTCCTCCTCCTCCTCCTCCTCTTCCTCCTCCGCCCCCTCCTACTCGGCGGCTCCATCTCCTGGTGGAAGCGAGGAGAAGGCCTTCCAAAAAGGCGGCGGGGCTTCTCGGAGGCCCTCGCGCCTTCTGGGAAGTTTTCTGCGTCGTCGGGCCGAAGGATCAGAACACTTCTCCGAAGCTTCGAAAACCTCTAGGAAGGCCAGGGGACTTCCGAGCCTTCTGAGAAGGCCTCCTCCTTCTCATTGCCCCCCGGGTGCGTTGCCGAGAGGAGGTGGACCTGCTCTGCAGTGAGCAGGTGAGCGACGAAGAGATCACCGGGCCTCGCGCCCAGCCCAGTGCGCCCGAGGCGTGCGAGGCGAAGCTTTTGTCTCCGGTCGGCGCGCGGGGGGGGGGCTGCCCGATGGCCCGCGCCCGTCGGGCTGCAGGCGCACCTCGTGCCGCGCGCTCTGACTACCCTCCAAGACCACCCCAACCCAACCCGAAAACCCAAACTTCGGGTTGGCGGGGGGGGGGGTTACGGGCTTCACATGTGCTGTTTCCATGTTCCCAGACCCCCCCCCCGCCCCGCTGGAAAGGGAGGGCAGATCGGGGCCTTCGGGTTGGGTTGAGGTGGCTTGGTGGGCGGTGACGCGCGGGCGCGTCACCGGTGGCCCGGGGTGGGCGGTGCCAGGAGCGGTGGCCTCGGCGGCTCCTCTGATGCCGCTGCTTCGGCAGGCGCCTGTGCCGGCGGCTCCTCTGGTGCCGCTGTCTCGGCGGGAAGCGCCTGCGGGTCCTGCGGAAAACAAGAGGCCTGGGCCCCGGGGTTTCCCCCCAGCACCAGCTGCTCGTCCTGAGCTGTCATCGTCAACGGCCCCGGGGTCCGCGGAAGGACACGGGAGCCCGAGAACGCGGAAAAACAATATCTGGACCCTTTTTCATCAGGACCCGTCTCATTCACAGCGACGCCTTCGGCCTGGCGCCAGCTGCGGCACGTGCGTGACAGAACGAGATACCAACGAGATGGGTGATATCGCAAGGGGATGGGTGAGATCCCAACGGAATAGAAAACCAGAGCGGGAGAGATCGGTAACGTCCGGTGGCAACTCACGAACGCCTCCCATACCATCTTGCCAGCTCTAGCGTATCGACGCTGATCGACGCGAATCGGCGCTAGCCGACGCCAAATCAACGCAACTTGATGCTAGTCGACGCTAATTCGGCACACCATCATGGACTGTCAGACGTTAATCGACGCAAAAGCGCTCGAAAGATGGAAAAGCGAGGGTATTTAAGACTGCCATGCTTTGCTAGCACACGAGCGGGCGAAACAAACTAACCGATTGCAAATTGTACCTGCATGATCATATGAGCCGTGAAAACCAAGTGGTACCACTGAAGGGAGCCCACACAGCTTTCATCATGTCAAGCCAACGTCAAGCAATTACGCATACTCGCCCCAATGAAACCTTTGAATATGGGATCTAGTTCATGGTAGATAGCACACAATCGGAATGCACATCAATGTCAGTCATATATAGAGAGACCATGGACCCGTAATATCGTCCCTCCAATGTACAGTCGATTGCATCAGTTTTTGAAAAATACAAAATGATATGGGCGCATAATCTGGTATGCTTGAAGTGAATCCATTGGTCGTGGCCCTGGTTCAGTCGGATTGCAAGCCAAGCGCAACATAATCAAGCTGAACAACAAACCTGACCTTTGGATCTGGCCCACCCTAGTTGGAGCTCAAGTGGAACCGCGTTGACGTTCACATGAAAACTACTATGGCCCTGAGATCTGTGAGCCTGACATATCCGATTCATGTCCTGACGCTTCCTAATGATTGTAGTCCCTCCGCACCTCTGGGTTACTAAGCGCCTCCGAAGCGCCTAATCGGCGTCTACTGGGCGACCTCCTGAGAGCCAAAGGGGCTACAAGAGGACCCACAGCCTGGCCCGAAGCAGCAACCCCCAAATTGATGTGCCTTGGGTTTGTGAATGAATTGCATTCTCTCCTTTTTGAGCTTCCGTCAGCTCAAGACGGCCCGAAAAACCTTCCATGATGGTCCTACGTAGGACAGCCCCAGAGGCCCCAACAGCGTCCCAAGATGGCCCAGGGTGTCCTGCGATGGACCAAGAGGCATCCGAGACGGCCCCAAGACGGCACAAGAGGGCCTCTCGTGGGACCCAGAACGGACTTAGAAGGCACTTCGACGGCCCAAGACGGCCTCCGGACGCCCACCACACGGCCAAGAGGCCCCAAGAGAGCCCAAAGAAGCCCCATCGACGGCGTAACGAGGGCCCCAAGACGGCCCAAGAAGGCCCCCAGGAACTCCCCAAACTGCCACACAGGGGGCCAGGACAGCCCCGAAACGGCACACGCGAGTTACATGGAAGCTCCTCAGAGACTGAAGACGAAGGGTGTCACCTGTGACGGCCTTCCTCCTCCTTCTCCTGTTCTGCTGCTCCCCCCCAAAGCTCAAGGCTGCGGACTGTGTCCTCCATCCTCAGGAGCGGAGCCCACGAACCCCTCCCACTGGTCGGTGGGAGGGGCAGACAAGAACCAAGAGGTGGCAGACAGATGAGACGGTATCCAAACGGCGAGGTCACAATGATGACGAGCAACTGATATGCGCTAGAGGGGGGGAGCGAGGGAGGGCGAGACTGTCTGTGGCGGCAAGGTGCGCGTGGGGGTGTGATCCGAGCGTGGGTCCCAGCCTCCTGGGAGGGTTGCTGCTCCTCCTCCTCCTCCTCCTCCTCCTCCTCCTCCTCCTCCTCCTCCTCGTCATCGTCATCGTCATCGTCATCGTCATCGTCATCGTCATCGTCATCACCACCATCACCATCCTGCTGCTCCTCCTCCTCCCCCTCCCCCTCCAACTCCTCCTCCTCCGCCCCGCCCTCCTCACTCCCCTCCTCGTCATCATCACACGACTCCCCAACCCTGGAAAACAATCTCCACCCAGGTGGGCGGGCACGGTATCGGGACGTGCCGCAAGCAGCTGCACAAAGAGAGAGAGAGAGAGGGAGAGAAAGAGAGAGAGAGAGAGAAAGAAAAAAAAGAAAGGGGAACAAAGAGAGAGGAGGGACAAATAAAGAAAGAGAGAGAGAGAGAGAAACAAAAAAAGAGAGAGGAGGCACAAGAGAGACGAAGAAAGAGAAACAAAGAGAGAAAGGAAGCATGGTACAGCAGGTGGCTCGGAGAGGAAGGGGAAGATGGAAGGTAGAGGTGGAGTGAAGAAGAAGGCACACCTGTACAAGCATAGCATGCCAGAGGTCCGCGCGGAGTTCCCGCATCGGCGCCAGGACCCCCTGGCGGCGCTGGCGGGCTCCCGCCCCCGGCGCGCCTCGCTCTCCCGGGAAGGGGCCCAGCGCAGATCCAGGAGTTCCGTGCGGCCTCCCGGGAGCCTGGATGCTCAGGCCAGACCCGAGTCGGTCGAGGGAGACGGGCCCCGCCCGCGTCTGGCCGGCCCCTCGCGACACGGGACACCCGCCCAGCCAGCCGTTCCGCGTCGGCCCAGGGCAGAAGTTGCAAGAACTGACGCGGAGCGGCGTGCTCCGCGTCGCCCCGCCTGATCAGTGCCCTGCTCCTGCTGCTCCGTTAACGTCGTCTGCCTCGTCCTTTTTTTCGGGGTCCGATCCTTGTCGATGAACTCCGACAGGACGGAGGCGCGCTTCTCGAGCACAAACTTGTTGAAGTTCTGCGCAGGTGCCGCACCACAGGCAAGCAGATGAGACGCGTGATGAGGACGAAGATGCCGAATGTCATGCCTACTGAGAGGGCGGCGGACGCCTTAAGAGGAGGCCCTGACTGAGATAAAGCATATCACAAACAGTCGACATTAACACGAACACAGTAAGTCCGAGAGGAACTGTGTACGTCCGAAGAGAAAGCGCAGGCGCCAAAAGAACGCAGCCTCCGCCTCCAGGTCCTGGAAGGACACCGACTTGCCGTCTTTCAGGACGAGGTACACCTCCCTCTTCCCGAGGATGAACAGGTCGCTCCACTCGAACTTGACAGACTGCCAGTAGCATCGTTATTTGCTCGGAGTCGGCGTGCGTATATCACCCGCGCCTCGCCTGTACTCACAAGGAATGCTCGGAGTGCGACCCGCGAACAGACACCGCGCGCGGCGCCTCTTCATGTACGAGGACGAGGAGGAGAAGGACGACGAAGACGACGACGACGACAACGAGGACGACGACGAGGACAACGACGACGACGACGACGACGACGGCGGCGACGACGGCGACGACGACAAAGACGAGGGCTGGAGCCCAAGGTGCTGAGTGGCCAGCAAGCCTTCGCCGCGCAGTTGGGGGACCCCCTTGGGAAACCAGAAGGTACCGATACCGCTGATCACGGGGGCGAAGGCCGAGTGAACGGAGCGGAGCGGAGCGGCGGCCAGAACATCTGTCAAGCAGGGCGGCTACACGGGACGCGCAGCGCACGGAGAGGCCGGAAATGCATGAGACACTGACGCAGTGAAGCAGCGAAGGATCATGTGAGGGGCAACGATAGGGGGGGGGCTGGCACAGGGGGGACGCATCGACTTGGAATCGGCGATGCATCGCAGATGGATCGGCGATAGGTCCCCGATAGCGAAGCCGCACCTTCCTGGGCGGGGTGGGAACATCGGGCCCCTATCGGCGATCAATGGGCGATTGGGGGTCGAGGCATCCACCTCCTATGCCTGTCCCCCCCCCCATCTTTGCCCCCGATCATGCGGCTGGCCCTCTGAATCCCAGGGCCCCCGGGGATCTCGGGAGCAGGACCCGCAGCACCCAGAGAGCCAGGGCAGGCGGCAGAGGCGATGGGCGAGAGAGAGAGGACGGCGCAGGGCGGCGGGGACCTCGGCTGGCGGTGGGCCTGGGACGTGCCAGCCCCCGCCAAAACCCGGGGGGCCCACATGTGGTGGGCTTGATTCCCGCCGCCACCACCATAAGTAGGAGGGGGAGGGGGTCCTCCTCCTCCCCCTCTTCTTCCTCCTCCTCACCCTCCACCTCCTTTCCCCCTCCAGCTTATGGTGGTGGTGGAAAGCACAGTCGCATCAACATGCATCCATGCCCACCGCCCGCCGAAAGACTCCGAGATCGATCCCCTAGGCGGTAGTTGCAGACAAGTCCCCGCCGCGGAGACAGAGATCTGATGGGCCCATTACCCACCACCACTACCATAAGTAGGAGAGGAGGGAGGAGAAGGAGGAGGAGGAGAAGGAGGCGGAGGACCTTATCATCCTCCCTTCTCCCCCGTCCTAGGGACCGGAGGCTGCGTCGGATCTGGCCGCTACGGCACGGAGTCGAAATCGCACCGGATCGGCCGCGCACATACGCACAGCAGAGCCGTGCAAGAACGTCGGAGAGTCGGAAACAGATCCACTTGGGCTCGCCGAAAGTGATGTCGAACGGAATCGATCGGATCCGTGGGAACCCTGGAGGGAGATTTCCGACTTTCGGAGTCAAAGCAACTTGGGCTCGCCGAAATCGATGTCGAACGGGATCGATCGGATCGATGGGAACCCTGGAGGGAGATGTCGGAGTTCCGGAGGCGAATCGACTCCGGCTCGAAGAAATCGATGTCGAATAGGATCGATCGGATCGATCGATGGGAACCCTGGAGGGAGATGTCAGAGCTTCGGAGTCGAAGCGAATCGAGCTCGAAGAAACCGATGTCGAATGGGATCGATCGGATCGATGGGAACTCTGGAGGGATGAGACGGGGAGAACGACCGGGAGGATGGGGTGGGACAAGAGCAGAGATTTGGACACTCCTGAAAGGCCCTCTGGGCAGACGAACTGGCGCGGCCGCAGCCGCGGCCATGGGGGGGGAGGAGGAGACGAAGCGGAGGATGATGATGAGGAGGAGGAAGATACCGAGAAACAGGAAGAGGAGGAACGGGAGGAGGGGAAGGAGTACGAAGAGAAGGAAGAGGAGGATGGCAGGCAGAGGAAAAGAGGGAGTGGAAGGAGAAGGAGGCGAGGGGGATGGGAAGGCGATGAAGAAAGCATGACGACGGGCTGGCTGGATGAGGAGACGTGAAGGGGAGGAGGCGGCAGAAGGGAGGGACAAAAAGGAGAAGTAACAGGAGGATGGGAGGACAAGGAGCAGAAGTATCGAGGAGGCGGAGGTTGACTAAAGAAGACGAGGCGAGGGACGAGAAAGAGAAGAAGGATAGGAAAACAGGGGCAAGAAGGACCAACACACACAAATGACTTGTGGGGCGGGTTCATGTCAGCTGGAAGCTGCGGGGCTATGAGCGAAGCTGCCCTTACCAGTCCAGCACGCGCAGCCGGATGCCACGAGCCTGCGATGAAGCTCGCATGCCCGTTTGACGGAGCTGCGCTATTGCTGCTTCTGTGGAGGGCGCCCAACTTGGGTTCGAGTGCGCGCGGAGGATCGCCGCATCGCCGATGCATCGGCGTTGCATCGCCGATGCATCAGCGATGCGGCGCGATCCACCGACCCCGTCTGCTTCGACCTCATCACGGCTACGTGGATGCTGCCGTGTCAGAGTAGCAAGGAGGTCGCGAGCCCAATTCTTCATTGCCCGTGATGGCGCCGAATTATGAGCACGGACCGACCGTCCCGGCCTTCCTGTAGGCCTACCACGACATGTTCGTAGAAACCAGAAAATGTTCTAAGACACAAATAATGTTCTGGGGGCATTAACGCGATGTGTTAAAACAAGACAGCCCCAGTCAGAAATTCTCTGAGAAAATGTCGTGCAGACCGCAGCAGCTTCTTAGAACATTCTTTGGTGGGCCCATAGCCAAGCCAGAACGCTTCGCCACTGCTTGAAGTTCTTCGTTTCCCGCGATGGAGTGCCCTGAGGTCCTTGGCGTAATCCATCCTGCCTTAGTCCTCAATCCTGAAGATTCTAAGGCGCCCGGACCCAAAATCGCCAAATCTTCTGGGGCCACCGGCGAGCCCTGTGGGGCCCGTCGCGGCTTGTCGCGTTACTTTATCGGGCCCACGAGGGCCCTAAGACGGGCCAAGAGGGGCCGCCTAGACGGTCCAAGAGGGCCCCGAATCGCCGAACGGTCGGTCCAAAACGCCCAAGATGGACTCAAGACGGCCCAAAGAGCCTTCGAGGCGCCCCAAGAAAGCACCGATAGCCCTCCCAAGAGGGTCGGTGCCCTTGTAATGAGCTTCGGTGGGCGCCTGCCGCCATCCTGCGAGCTTGATGCAGCCCTCGTCGACACTGTTTTCGTATACTCTGGTAACGGTCGCTGCAAGGAAGCATGGGGCGGGAAATGGTAACGCTCGAGCACAAGCGCGTGATGGGGGGGGTCCAAGGTCCAGGCCCTCCCCCCACGATCGCTGCCGCTACGCGCGCCAGAGGATCACAAAACTAGCTTCGTCGTCCGCATCTCCGCACATCTCGCCACCGCTCCTCGTGATCCGTGCAGCCGCCCGTGCTTCCGCAGGTGCCCAGGAGGTCGTCGCCCGGGCCGCCTCCTCGCGGCCCCAGCATTTGTTTGACTTGCGAGAACGGGCGCAGCGCGCAGCCGCGGACGCCCGGAACCGCGGCGCCTAGGCACCTTGGGGAGCTGCGCGACTCGCTGCGCCGCCCAGCGCGCAAACGCCGCTGGGCAGCCCCAGCGCAGGTCAAGCCGCCCGGGAGCAGGGCCGCGTGGCACCGCGCCGGCAACCGCTCCTGCCGTCCGGGGCACGCGCCCAGCATCGCTGCCGCAGAGCATCGCGGCCCCAGCACTGCGCGGCGCAGGCAGCCACGCGGCAGGAGCCTCGGGCGCAGGCCGGGGGCCCTGCCCCTGGCGCCGTGCGCTGGCGCTGCGGGTGGAGCTCGCCCGGAGAGGCCACGCGCCGCCCCGCGGGGCGAGCCTCTGCGCGCGCGCGTCGGCCTTGGTGGGTGGCGCCGCGCCGTCGTGTCACGCCCGAATGGCTGGAAGTTTGGGCTTTCCAGGCGCAGTATGGCTGGCGCATTCCGCCCATGACAACAAGGTCCAATCGCCATCCACACCACCACCATCGCCACCACTGTCATCGTGATCGTCACGATCACCTTCACCACAGTCGCCATCAGCGCCATGACCATCACCAATGCTACCGTCGCCATCAGAATACTCATTATCATCGCCTCCTTCGTTGCCACCAACATCACGGCCACATGATACTGATAAGCATCACCGTGCTTATCCTACTGCCACTGCTGCTACTGCTGCCCGTTTCCACTACCTTGCATGGAACGTTCACTTGAGCCCAATCGCACTACATCCTCCGGATCATATGCACATGCATGAGGTGACTGATAGTGGTATAGCGAGGAGGAGGGAGAGTGACGGAATGCATACCTGCATGTACGCCACCATGCGATCAGCATCCGCAGGGGATTCGCTCATAAACAGCTGCATAACGGCTCTGCTAAGCAACACGTGGCCTTGATATCATCGAACGGGATGTCCTCGAGCACCTGAGCAACATGACAAAACAATACTATGTGCTGCTCGTCGAATCAAAAACACTATTCGACTTTGCAGGCAAGATGAGATGTAGCAAAGGCGGGAGCACGTGCAAACAAGACACCGTACTACGCATCGATGCATACACATATGTGCAACGTAAAAAAATCGTGACTCGCCCAGCGTGGCGCGGCAACGCCTCGAAAGGGAACGCAAGCCGATGTCATTACACTCTAATGAAGACCGAAGCCTAGGTCTGACAAAGGTGGACGGGACAATTGGGATCCTTCACGTCCTTGCGACTCTTTGGAGAAACAACTCACACCTGATTTACTTTGCAATGATCTTTCGGAGACAAAACGTGTACCCCAAATATGCTGTAGCAAACGCTGGCAACGTGTAGCCTAAGCCGAGTAACACTCGAAACAAGCTAATTTGTCCAACTCCCACGCCAGATGTCACCTCCTGCTCTCACGCAGGCCTAAGACCGTCGCTTCCAGAGGGAAACGCACATATATATATATATATATACACACACATAAACGAAGATATGGACCCTCATCCTGCCGAGAACAAACGGAACAAGCAATGCAAATCTGAATGCAGATCTAGCAAATCCACCGATCCGGCGTGTGAGGTTCGAAAAGCCTAAGCCACAGCCCAGAACCTGAGCTTGAACTATACTTGGGGGGTTGCCAGGGTGGCTCTGCTGGAGAAAGGAGCGGGGGGGGACCCCCTGGTGCCCGCTGTGCTATGATTTCTTCGGGGGGCCTCGGACACGTCAACATGTACAACTCAGGACCCCTTAGGCCCTACATAATCGCTGACCGATCGGGCCCAGACGCCCAAGATAGCCTCCAGTCGGCCGCAAAAGCGCCCAAGACGTCCCAAGAGGCCCCCGGAACACTCCAATGAGGGCGCCAAGATGAAAAAAACATTATCTAGGAAAACCTGGATGTCTAGTATGTCCGACATCTCAGCCTTCACGACGTCCAAGACGCTCCAAGAGTTTCCAAGACGGTCCAGAGACCCCCAAACACCGCCCGAAGACTTCACACGAGTCCCGAAACCGCCCCAAAGGCGCCCAAGACGGCCCACGAACGCCCCAAGAAAACGCCAAGAGAGGCCCCAGAGGGGAAGCACGAACCGATAATTCCTGCCTTCCGCCCCTAAATGCCCCCTGGGTCCCAAAAGGCGCCCCAGAGCCCCCAAGAGACCCCATGAGGCCCCCAAGACGCCCAAAGCGGCCCCAGAACAGACCCCAATAGGCTTCAAATCTGCCTCCCCAAACCCCCGACATCCCTCCCACGATATCCCCACGAACATCTCAGACGCTCCATGATCACTCACAACCCAGGCACTCTGGCGGATGGGAAGAAGGCCATACAATGCCCACATAACCTCAGCTCAGCTCTCCTCCCTGAACAAAAAACTAAACAAAAGGAGAGATGGGACGGGGTAAGTCAGAAACAAGGGCGAGAGAGAAACCCGCTGCCGCCCGCTGATTTCTTCGTCGCACAAGCATCCAGCCCCCCCGGATCGGCAGCATTGGCCAGAACTTATTCCGGCACCGATGCAAGCAAGAACGAAAGAAGCTGAAATACGCTCGCCGTGCATGCTTCCCGCAATGATCCCCAGGCACCTGGCCGTCGACAATCTTGGTGAACCGCTTCGTTCTCTTGCTGAACTCCGCTACGCCCCTCCTGGGTGAAACCGCGTCTGCGTGGCAAGCAGGCCCTTTAACGTTGGCCCTTCCCTGAACTTGTTGTTAGGAGGGGGGATAAAGCCGAGTTCGTTGAACATCGGTGCCCGGATGTCCATCGAAGAAATCTTTCATCCAGATCCGTCTTTCACTGCCCTGGGGCCCGAAAACGGCCACCGGAGGCCGAAAAAGGCACAAGACCTTCACGAAACCAGAACCTCGAACCTGCCCCCCTTCCTGCTGGGCGTAACCAGTGCTGGACCACCTCAGCCCCAACCCAGCTCCAACTCTCTGCCCCCCCTCCTGCAGCTGCGCTCGGCTATGCTGGACTATGGGATTGTACGAGAAGGAGGTTTAAGAGGATCATGCGCTGCAGGAGCAGCAGCACTCTGCCCCAGCCTCCTGTAGCTCCGCTCACCCCGTGGACGCTCATCCTCGCTACGACCCGCCGCGACCCGCCCAGCCGCCCACTGCGAGAGGGTCGGAGGAGGCAAGCGCCCACCCGCCATCCCCATCCTCCTCCTCCTCCTCCTCCGCCTCCTCCTCCTCCTCCTCCTCATCCTCCTCCTCCTCCTCCTCTTCCCCTTTCCCCATCCAGAAGCCTCCTCCTCCTTCCCCCCCCCCATCCTCCTCCTCCTCCTCCTCCTCCTCCTCCTCTTCCTCCCTCCTCCTCCTCCTCTCCTCTCCTCCTCCTCCTCCTCCACCTCCTCCTCCTCCTCTTCCTCCTCCTGCTCCTCCTCCTCCCCCTCCTTCTCCCCCACCTCCTCCTCCCCCCTCCTCCGCCTCCTCCTGCAATTTCCCTCCCGCCCGCGGCGCGGCGGAGGCGGAGGGCTGTCCCGGGGTTGTTGAAGAGGATGTACCACTGCGGGGGGGCGGCGCGCGGCGAGCCGCGGAAGGGCCCGCAGCGTCGCCGCTTCTCTCACCTCATCTCTGGCGCTGCGGGCTGGCCCAAAGCTCCGACGAGACCGTTTTTTCTGTCCCATGGTTTGTCCTCAACCTCGGCCTCCGGGAGGACACCCCGGAGAAAACAGCTATTCGTACGCATTACGATCCGAAAGGGCTGTAATCCTGTTGCGGCCCAAACAACACAAATTGAAATGCACATCACGTGAGAAATACATTCGCGTGCGGTTCCCCGTCAGCAAACAACAAGTACGTTTCACCACGACACCCACCACTGCGGGGGGGCGGCGCGCGGCGAGCCGCGGAAGGGCCCGCAGCGTCGCCGCTTCTCTCACCTCATCTCTGGCGCTGCGGGCTGGCCCAAAGCTCCGACGAGACCGTTTTTTCTGTCCCATGGTTTGTCCTCAACCTCGGCCTCCGGGAGGACACCCCGGAGAAAACAGCTATTCGTACGCATTACGATCCGAAAGGGCTGTAATCCTGTTGCGGCCCAAACAACACAAATTGAAATGCACATCACGTGAGAAATACATTCGCGTGCGGTTCCCCGTCAGCAAACAACAAGTACGTTTCACCACGACACCCACTAGGTATTTGCAAATCCGTCGCTTTAGGATCTGAATCGAAACATTTGAATATTTGTGGAACAAATGAGCAAGCATTGGAACATGAATCGACCCATTCGCTCGTCAAACAATTGTGATGTTAGCCAGCTTGGACCCCAAACACTGAGTTATATACACTCTACCTGGTGCCATCCATGTGCTGCAACCTATGTGGTGCAATTCACCAACGCCCAAGTTGAAGTTGTCCACTCCACTGCTCGCGCAAACATCCCACCCACCCACCTGCAACTTGGTTTGCAAAATATCTTAAGACCGTGACGGTGGGTACCACATGGCACTTGGCAACAACAGCGACGCCGACGACGACAGCGACAACGACAATGACGACGCCGCCGACAACGACTACGACAACACCGACGACGTCTCCGACACCGACGACGCCGACAACGACGACGACGACACCGACGACGACGACGACGACACCGACGCCGACGACGACGACGATGACAACGACGACGACGATGACGACGCCGACGACGGTGATAACGACGACACCGACGACGACGACGACGTCAACGACGCCGACGACGACGACGACGACGACGACGGCGGCGACGACGACGCCGACGTCGACGACGACGAAGACGACAACGGCGCCGACGCCGACGCCGACGACGAAGACGATGACGACGTCGCCAACGAAGACAACGAGGAAGGAGGGAGGACGACGACGGCGACAACGACGACAACGACGAGGGAGGAGGGAGGACGGCGACGACGCGAACGACGAAGAAGGAGGAAGGACGGCGACGCCGACGACGGCAACGACGAGGGAGGAAGGAAGACGAAAACGACGACGACAACGACGACGACGACGACGACGGCGACGAAATAGGAGGGACGACGACGAGACGCCGACGACGGACGACGACGACGACGACGAGGGAGGAGGAAGAAGGACGACCACGGCGACAACGACGGCGGAAACGACCACGACGCCAAAGAGGACGACGACGACGAACACGAGGAAAGACAGAGGACGACGTAGGCGACGACGACGACGACGACGACGCGGGAGGAGGGAAGACGGCGACGACGACGACGACGACGCAAAAGCGCGCGCGCACGCTTTTGTTGAAAATCCGTGTTGCGAAACCTTAGGTTTTTTTTGTAGGTTCTTTGGACGCGCGATTTCGAAATCCTTCCGAAACCGATTGGTTTTGAAGGATTCCGGCGTACGCGCGCGACGACGCGCGCGTCTGCACTTCGTCCCGTTTTTTTGCAAAGGATTCTCGTGACGGCACACGCGCAATGGCGTTCGACTGATTTCGACATGCTCGCGCGGGACGCCTGTTTGGTAGCATTTTGTGAAAATCTTGAAAAAAACCCATGGGTTTCTTCAGATTTCGCAAGAGCTCGCGCGGAAGCTTTTTTAGCAAATCAGTGTTGCGAAAGCCTGTGTTTTTGTACGTTCTTTGGAAACTCGATTGCGAAATCCTTCCGGCACCGAAGGTTTTTGAAGGATTTCGGCATGCGCGCGCGACGACGCGCGCGTGCGCACTTCGTCTCATCTGTTGCAAGGGATTCGCGAACAATTGCTATGTTAGAGCAAAAAATGTCATCGCATAGTGTTTTTTTACTAGGGACCCTCAGGGGGGGGGAATCCGGCCTAGCTGGAATGGTACGGTTTCATATTTAGGATAGACGAGTGTGCAGAATATATATATATATATATATATATATATATATATTCTCATACGCACCTCTCCGAAGGAGTAGAGCTCAGAGGCGATTAATGCGCACGCGTCCGCGATTTTTCTGGGCGTTTCGCTCGGGACATCCTCGAAATTCTGAAAATCGGTGGCACCCCTCACGCAGATCGCGACGTCAGGGTCCAAAAACACATGGGAAATTCAACATTTTAACATAACACCTTCAAAAACACATGGTAATTTCAATAATTGTGACCCCGATTCTCAGTGAATGGCGGTTTCGCTTGAAAAATCCTTCCAACATCGAGCCCCAGACCCCGCCTCGGAGCCTCCTGGGGGCCTCCTGGAACCTCCTGGGGCCTCCTGAGCCTTCTGAACCTTCTGGCGCCCCAGACCCCGCCTCGGAGAGCCTCCTGGGGGTGTCCTGAAACCTCCTGGGGCCTCCTGGGGCCTCCTGCGGCCTCCTGGAGCCTCTTGGGGCCTCCTGAAGCCTCCTGGGGTCTCCTGGGGCCTCCTGAGGCCGCCTGGGGCCTCCTGGGGCCTCCTGGGGCTTCAGAACTACATGCACACAGAGACACAAATCACGCCCAACACAGCACACGCTAGACAAACATAACACACACACACAACACCTACAACACACAAAAAGCACGCACCACACGAAGCATACATCACAAACACACACACACACAACACACACACACACACACACACACACACGCACAACACTCACAATCCTGGGGCCTCCTGGAGCCTCTTCTGGTATCCAAGTCGGGCCTCCTAAGGCTTCCTGGGGGCCCTGGTACACACATCGCAAGGTGTGGCAACCCCACTTGCGCTCGAGTGCGACTTCGATGTTGCATTTCATTCCTGCTTCAAAACGCCCCTTCCGTTTTTTTGTATGAGCCTGGGCACACACGTGCCACTTGTGTATATATATATACACATACATACATATATATAAATATATGTATATATACATGAAATCATACTATCCCAGGGGGAGCTGATTAGTCCGGGCGGGTAGAGTCTATTCTCTTATCCGAAAAGGAGAATCTACATGGTGCGCTACATGTGGCGCACCCTATGTAACATAAGCGCTGTGGTGCAATAGATGCGTTGCAATCTATGTGGTGCCATGTATGTGGTGTCAAATGTGCGGTGCCTCCGTTGCGGTGCAACGTATGGGGCGCAATGAAAGTTAAGCTATATGTGTGGTGCAACCGATGCGGTGAAATCAGACAGGTGTCAATATATGTTGTGCAAGTTGTGTGGTGCACTCTACGTTGTGCCATGAAAGTGGTGCGCTCTATGGACTGCAAACTACGTGATGTAATCTGCGTGGTAGAAACAGTTTGGTGCAGCGTACGTGGTGGAATATATGCGTTGCAACCTGTGTGGTGCAATGTATGTGCTGCCAAATGCGCGGCGCATTCTACTCGGTGCCGCTGCTATAACAAACGAACTGACACACCCTACGCTTTGCAAACGTCCCACCCACCTATCCGCAACTTGGTTTGCAATACCCACGCGATGGCTATTGCGATGCATGATAGGCGGTGGCTGGTGCATCTTTGCGGCCGCGCCAACCCAAGCATGCGCGCGCAGCGGCCGACAAGTTTGGCGAGACCGACGCGGCCGCGGTGGCGCTGACCGCTGGGCACATCCCAGCGTGCACTTGAGTGCGAGTCGGCGACTTGGGCGGGTGCAGTATCATGGCAACGTCGACAACGGTAGAAGCGATGACGATAGTAGCAATGCTGGCGACTATGCTGACAACGACGGAGGCGCGGCCAGTGCGGGCGCCGATGCTGATCACGCCGACGACGATGACGGCGTCCTCGCGTCGGCGATGAAGGCATGACCGCGCGGCCGACGCGTGAGAGTGGCCCACACGGATCATGCCCCCCCCCCAGCACGCGCACAAGGGCGCGCGAGTAATGCCAGCATGCGGCGCGAAAGGCCCGTTTGGCAGAATGTCGTGCGCATGTTGCCAAAAAACAGAGAATTCGCAAGAGCGCGAACGCACGTTTTCTTTGAAAAGTGATGCTGCGAAACAGTGTCTTGTATATGGACACTCGATTGGATATTCGATGTTGAAATCGCTACACCAGCGAAAGTGTTCGACTGATTTCGGCATGCGCGCGCGTCGCCGCGCGCGTGCACTTCGTCTTCTTGTTGCACATGGTTCCGGCTGTGAGATTGGCGACGGCACGCGCGCAAGGGCGTTCGAATGTCTTCGACATGCGCGCGCGCATGTCGAAGTTTTCGGGATTCGTGACAGAATTCGAAAGTCGTACGTACTCAAGAACCGAATGTTTTCTTCAGAATTCGTAGCAACGCGCGCACATGTGGGGAGGCAGTCCGCGTTGTGAAACCATGTGTATTTATACACATTGGACACTAGATTTCGAAAATTTTGCACCGAAGGATGCTGAAGGATTTCGGCATGCGCACGCGACGACGCGGGCGTGCGCAGTTCGTACCATTGTTTGCAATGGATACTGTCATCTTTCGATTGAACGGGTGCGCGCGCAGAGTATTTGTAGCAGGGGGTGACGGGAGCGGCGATACCGGCCTGGCTGGGATAGTACGAGTTCATAATTAGGGTGGGCGATGGGGAAGAATCACATGTAAATCGCGAAACGAAAAAGAGTGTCGATAATCCCGGGGGGGTAGAG